TCTCAATTACAGGGAGGCTAGGTTTGCTCATTTCCTACTTAGACATCTCCTGTGGATTTTCTGCCCACCCCCATTTATTATTTGGCGTTTCCTTGTTATTTTGAAAAAACAAATAATAGGTCACTTCCCTAGGTTGCAAATATCTTTTCCCAAACACTTTTGATCTTTGTCTGTGAAGTATTCTGATGTTACAAAAGGTTAACATCTTTATAGATTTATATCCGTGGTGGTGGGCTGAATGAGAAATGTCTCCTGTAGGTTCAGATATTTGAGGTCTCACCTCCCGTTGGTGGTGTAGACTTGGAGGAAGTGCATCTCCAGGGTTGGCTTTGTCATCCACGGCCTTGCCCCATTCCTGTGTTCTCTCTACTCGGTGTTTGCAGTTGAAGGTGTGATGAGTCAGCCTTCTGCTCCCCTGCCTGCTGCTTTATTATGGACACTAAAAATTGGAGCCCAAATAAGTTCTTTCTTTCTTAATTTGCCTTTGGCCATGGCATTATCACAACAGAAAAGTGACTGATACATCTGTCTTTTCTTCGGGGATTTGTGACTGGTTTAGGAGACCGTCTTCCCATCCAAAGGTTATGAGAACATTCAGTACTTTTTTCAAACAAACCATAGAGCTTGAATTTATTTACTTTTTGTCTGCATCGTACAGGTTTTCTGTGACTTCTTCCCAAATCTCTTTACATCATTTGCTGAATGGTCTGCATACAACTTCTACCTTTGGGAGCTATCTTTCTTCTTCTTGTTGTTGCTCCTTTTCCTCTTCCCCTTCCCCTTCCCCTTCCCCTTCCCCTTCCCCTTCTCTTCCCCCTCTTCCTCTTCCTGTTCTTCTGTTCTTTTGATTTTTCTTGCTCTCCTCATCCCTCTCCTCCCCCCCTCCTCCTCTTCCTCCTCTTCTCCTTCTTCTTCTTCCTCCTTCCTCCTCCTCTTCTTTCTTCCCCTTCTCCATGTACTCTTCTTCTGCAGGAGGTTGTGTGCTTGATGCAAGTCTTCCAGAAAGCACACAGGGTCTTGGAGGCTTTAATTATGAGTACTCCTAAGAGGTGCAGGTGTGATCAGTACTAAGCTACCTGTCCTTGTTAGCTTTAATTGGTAACTGGATACAGGCTGGAGTTACCCGAAAAGGGAGTCTCAGCTGAGGGATTGTACAGTCTTTGTGAGAATGTCCTGACTAGTAACTGATGTAAGAGGCTCCAGCTCAGTGTGGGCAGCACTATTCAGGAAAGGTTGGTCCTGGGTTGCATAGGAAAGCTAGGTAAGCACGAACCTGGGGTTGAGCCAGCAAGCAGCATTTCTCCATGCTTTCTATTCCAAGGTCCCTGCTTGACTTCCTGTCCTAAATTTCCTCAATGATGACCCATGACCTGGAAGTATACATTAAATAAACCCCTTCTATCCAAGTTGTTTTTGGTCAGGTTGTTTTTATCCCAGGAGCAGAAAGGAAACTAGAAGACTACCCAAGTCCCCTGAGTGAAATTCCTGTTCCATTCAGTGTCCTGAAGGATGTGGTAGAAACATCACGACCTTAGCCAGTCATAACTGATCTGCTGAGGGGTCTCAGGCTCCACAGAGCAAGAGAGGGCTGGGCTGGGCTGGGCTGGGCACTACCTTCACATTGAGAAAACATGGGCCGAAAAGCCAAGGGTGAGCTAGCTTCAGGCCTCCAGACAAGTGTCTGAGATCCTTGCATGTAGCTGCAACATGCCACCCACATGACTGTTTCCAGGTTCTTCATCAGCCACACAGTGACAGCTCCTCACAGGAACACAGTGCCACAACAGTCGCTGTCTGGGAATGGCTTTCCTATCTCATGCCAATGCTCATGGCTGGTCTTTTTCACTGGGGTTAGCCACTGGGAATTCTGTGACTGATCATGCCCTAAGTATGGTTTTGAAACAAATCTAAGGGTCTGCTTCTGAGAACTTAAAAACCAGAAGCCATCTCCTCTTTCTTCTTGGGAGTTTCAGGATTACCAGCTAGACTCACAGACCAGCCATTCCGAAAACCCTTGAGAAAACCTATCACGTATCTGTGGACAATAAACCAGGCAAGATGAGAAAGAGTATGTACACATGTGGTTCTAAAATGCCTCGAATATCCAAGTGACTTCCACACAAGTGCCATAGGCATGACACATGGCATAGTATGAGGCAAACAAGCAACTGAGCAGGCACCTCAGCGACTAGGACCTGCTCGGCACTTAAAACACTCACATGGTTTTAGTCTCTGGCCCATGTGACCCAAGAGGACGTCGATGCCAGAAATCATGACAGCATCCCACAAAGCTTCCCAGACCTCCACCCCGTGGCAGTGTCCTTTAGACTCTAGGCTTAAATGTGTCACAGGCCATGGGCTTGCTACCTGCTTTTCAAACCATGTATGGAAAGACCATCTCTCTGGCTGTCTGCTACCCCTCCCATGTTTTCCTGATCTTCTCAACCCAGCTTGCATGTCCTTTCCTGTGTGGTGAGTCTGCTGAGTCTCCTTTCCAGAGGTTCAGAGAGAGGTAGATGCCTCACACTCCATCTCCCTGGAGATTAAGCCACCTCTCAGCTATAAATCAAGTCACTGGGTAGAAAGGGTCTGTTGAGAGTGTAGTCAGTGTTTCCCTGAACTCATAGAGTTAGCAACTGCTTTAGAATATGGAATTGTTTTCATGCTCCACAGATGGTTTCTGATCATCTGTATTATAGTCTGAGCATTGCATTAGGTCAGAGAAAGAGAAGGGAGAGAGACAGAAAGAGAGAGACAGACAGGCAGACAGACAGACACACAGAGAGACAGAGTGATACACACACATACACAGAGAGAGAGAGACAGAGACAGAGACAGAGACACATGGAATGAGACAGAGAGTGACATACACACACACACACAGACAGGAGAGGGGGGAGAGGGAGAGAGAAAGGGAGAGGAAAAGGGAGAGGGAGAGAGAGATATATTTCTGTCCTTATAGGAAACAGACAGGAGGCAGCTTAAGTGGTCTAATAAGAAAATAGGTGTAGGGTGTCAGCTTGGTGACAAGGTGACATGCGAGCAGGCAAGAGGGGTGAGGAGTGTCAAGACAGAGACTGAAGGAGGGGCTCACTGATAAAACCTGAGGAGGCTACATGGACATCTGCTGAAAGAGCACTCCAGTGGGAAGGGAGGAAGGCTGAAGCTGGAGGTAAAACACCATCTGCAAACAGCAAGGAAGCTAGGAGGGAGGAGGCTGGGGAAGAGGAAGCTGGGAGGGAGGAGGCTGAGCGGGAAGAGGCTGAGCAGGGGAAGGCTGAGCAGGAGGAGGCTGAGCAGGAGGAGGCTGAGGTGGGTGATAGGCAATAGAGCATGGGGACAGCAAAGCCACTGAGGACGTTATGGGGAAAGACAGCCATGGCAGATTTTTACACAGAAGTGTGTCAAGACCCAACGTGGGCTGTAAGAGACCAGGGCAAAGACAGAGATACCAGTGAGGGGACCACTTACCAAAACCCGAGTGACAGATGGCAGGCAGCATTTAGACTAGAGCTCTGGAATCCAAGGCACAAACAGTGCTAACCCTGGGGTTTTCACGAAGGGTACACGGTAGGTTTGCTTGCATGCTAGATGTGAAGTGTGTGAGGAAAGGAATTTAGGGTGATGCAAGGCCCTGGGCTGAAGGACAGAGTGGCTGCTTGCTGAGATAGAGAAGCAGGCCTGAAAGGTGCTGTGGTCTGACCATGGTTTACGCTCTAATACTCACACTGGCAGTTAATCTGTCTTTAATATGACGACAGTGCTTCATATACAGTGCTTAAAGAGGGGACCTTTGGCAGTGACTGGAATTGAACAAAATCACCAGGGTGTAGATCCTGTGATCAATTGCTGGTATATACATAACAGGAACAGAGCCTAGGAAAACGCGCGCGCACGCGCACACACACACACACACAAATACACATACACACATACATACACACAAACACACACACAACACACACACACACTTGCATACAGATATACTCATGCATACAGACACATATGCACACACAGACACACAAGACACACACTGACACATAGACATGTCCACACACACACACACACGCACACACACAAAGACGCATGCACAAACTTCCTGCTACATGGTGATCTGTACCACCTTGGGATACTGTTGACATGAAGTTCATCACTATATAAAGAGGCATACCCTTTAGACTGTGGTCAGTACTGTAAGGTCAAATAAACCTATTTTCTTTATAATCTACCCCAGCAACAGTATTGTGTTATAAGCAGCAACAACAAAAAGCTGATCAGGAGGGGTGCCACTGTAGTTTAAGTAAAATCCATTAGGCACTGATATAGTTGGTTGATAAATCCTGAAATTCCCAGAAGGAATCTGGGCTGGAGAGAAACTGGTGGTGTCATCAGCACAGGCTAGATTTTGATCCATGGGTCTTGCTGAGCCCCAGGGAAGGAGTGTAAAGTAAGGGAGGCCTGAGTCCTTTAGCAGTTGGGAAGCTAGAGATAAAAGTCACTGGGAGAAAATCCTTGTAGCTAAGGAGTATGCTTTAAAGCATGTGTGTAGCACTGACCACACGTGGCTTATAAAGCGTCCCTTCAGACAAAGTCAGCCACAGGTGACACAGAATCAGGTGGCCTCATATTCTGCACATGGACTTGGGTTTCAGGCTCATCATGCCTGTGTCTTACCCCACTGATCTTTAATCCCTGGGTATCAGTTTCCTTTGAGATTCTTTACGAATGTTGAGGCTCTTCTTAAAGAAATGCACACACATACACACACAAGACTGAAGATAATTTTCGGGAGTTCCCAGAGGAACCACAAATCACTCTAGGCAACGAATTTACAGCTGTCCCCTCCTCGTCCCTTCCAAGGTCTTGTGACATCAATCAAATTTCCTCAACATAGAGATAGATGTCTTTCTTCAGGCTTCCCCTGGCATGGCTCCTAAGTGTGAAATCAGTTTGATTTCCTGAGCCTCCTGAGAAGATTCCAGGGTAAGTGGATACAAATTTCAAACAGGCAGCTCACAGCTGAAGCCGACATAGGACACGGATGGAGGACTTACCACCATGCCCTGGACCTGAAACATCTCTGCGCCACCAGGTGACAGCCGGCTGGGGAAGGAGATGCTGACGGACGATCCAGGAAGGGTGCTGGGGCCGGTGTTATAGACCTGTGGGGCGAAGCACATGGCCAGTGTCAGCGACACACAAGACCTTCAAGTCATGTGACACATCATATGTCTTAAGAGTCTCTGAGCTGTACACAGAAGCATGACGGCATGGTTCTAGGATGTGATTTTATTGCATCTAGATATGCTTTTACTTGAAATAGAATACATCATTCGGATCTGACTTTGAAATGAAAAACTAAATGACAGAGGTCTAACAAAACTGAATGTTTTCTTGTCCTCTTCTTGCTCAAAATTGTATTTAATTTTACATACCTAGAAATGTATTCATTGATGATAGTTGGTGGGAACTCAGATATCAAAATGAAGTTCAGGGGTTCTCAGCATTCTAGAGCAAAGTAAGAATGATCTAGGGGGCTCAGTCAAACACAGGAGGGCGCTGTGGGCAGGGCCAGTGTTTCTGAAGCAGTTGAGATGGGTGGAGGTAGTAACATCTACATTTCCCAGGATACACTGCACCCAGGAGTCATCTCCAAGACCCAGTGGCCTGGTCCAAACTTATTCTTTGCACAGTTTGTGATAATGATAGGATTCAGTGACCAAGGGGCTGGTCCCAAAACGAAGTTTTCTTTCCTACAAAGGACTGTCACAGGAGCTATCTAGGTAATTCTGATGACACGGTTTGATGACATCTGTATATCTCTTCTTGAATTCTGTATCAGATCAGGGTAAAACTTTACGCCTGTTTTCCTTCTCTAATTCATCTCAGAGCCAAGCAAGGAGGGGAAAGAAAGAAGCCACAAAGAGATCCCCAGGGGTGAGGTGACAGAGCAGAGACTGACAATCAAACCCAGGGCAGAAATAGAGTAGGCGGAGGAATTTAGAAAATGGGTAACTTACAGGAACAGAAAGAACATTATTGGCTGCCTGTGGTGGGATAAAATATTTTAGATTATTCAGGTGGGGTCATTATAATGATCTGCAAGTGGGGCTGGAGCCCATGAGCTGTTACAGAGTAACCAAGACTGGGCTAGCCCATGAGCTGTTACAGAGTAACCAAGACTGGGCTAGCCCATGAGCTGTTACAGAGTAACCAAGACTGGGCTAGCAGATATCCTTTAGCGGAGTAACCAAGATTAGGCTAGCCATGTGTTGTAACAGAGTAACCAAGACTGGACTGCAGTTTCTTCTGACACATGTTTCCTGCGTGTTTTACCCACTGTTGTGACCTACCACTCAAGAGAAGATTCCTTCCAAGATTATCGCTCTCTTACATTGTACCTGGGCACCTAAGAGCTCTGGTGGGAAGGTCTCTGGCACCATTCAATCAAACTGTGAATGGAGAGGAAACATTCTCTAGGGAAATTAAGAGTGCTACTCTGATGAACACATGAATAACTAAGCAAACAGGCTGTGAACAGGGATGCACCACGGAATGTATCAGAAGAGTGATGTTGGCACACTTGCGAACAGCACTCAGTCTGCAGCCCGTGGATGGAGGGGTGATTCCGACGTTCAAGTCTTACTGTTTCAGAATTATAGTCCATAAGGCGATAGCTGCTAAAGCCAGATTCCTTTGATGGGTCTCTGTTCCTGTCCCTGTTGCTTCAATGAAATATCTCTAGAGAAACGCTTCAAGGGACGAGCTGTTTGTTTTAGTTCACATTCCAAGTTAAAGCAAATTGTCTCAGAAAGGTTAAGGATGCAGGAATTTGGAGGCTCCTAGTCGTTAGCACATCTATAGGCAAGAACAGAGGGCAGTGAACCAATGCATTCAAACAAGTAGCTCTTTTTCTCTATTCTCATACAATCCAGGAGCTTCTGCCAAGGGAATAGTGCCACCCAGGGTGGGCAGGACTTTCCACGTCACTTAAAATGAAGATAATTCCCCACAGACATATCCAATGACCAACCTATTAGAGACAATCACTCACCAAGACTCAATTCCCAGGTTATTCTATGACTGTCCCTAGTTGATGAATAAACTAACCATTACAAGCCCAGGGAAAGTACACTGATAACCTAGAAAGAGTTTGCCAATGAGAACAGTCATAATCAGTGGTGGCAAGTCAGACATCAGTGTGATGGGTGTTTTCATGGAGTTGATGCCAACTCTTATGGGTAACCTTGCAGAGTCTGAGACTTCCAGGCAGGAGGTCACTTCATAGTTGAGGGGGTTGTCAGGACAGTTTAGAAATGAAGGCTGACGATAAGAACAAACTTCTACCATCTCAAAACAAAACTTTAATGGACGGGGAGTTGTCTCTTATGCATTAAAAAAAAAGTGTTTTCTTGAGATGGGATTTACTCCTGGCTAAGATGCAGTGAAGTTGTTAAAATTATCATGGGGGATTTAGAAGATGGCCTGAACTTGGCTGACAAGGCCCTGCCAGATACCAGAAGACACTCCAATTTTGTAAGTGTTTCTCCTGTAGGTAGGATTTCAAGCAGCAGCCTGTCCTATCAAGAACTCTTCATGAGCTCAACAGTCAACTGATGGAGTTAACTGTCCCTGTTATTTTCAGAACTTTGGACCAGAGATTCTGCAGCCTTCACCTCTGACAGCCAGGCTGGTCAGCATGCATCCTCATGGGGGCAACGCCTTCTTCCAGCAACAACATTAAAAAAAATGCTCAGTTCACCAATAAAGTACACTTAATTAAAGCATGTTTCTTGTTTTTCTAGATATTCTGTTAGACACATACAGTATAAATACAAGTCCTATATAAAAACCTGTACCACTTGCTTGATTGACAGGTTCTGGAGCCAATCCTGCACCAATTTCAACTACTTTCAAGGTACATCTGTATAGCCAGTGACTGAGAACTGTGAATTGTTTATTTTGACGTGATGGAATTCTAAATTCTACAAACATTCTAAAATCACCGAACAGCATATTTTAAACAAAGTTTAAGAGGTGTGTCATTAAAGATTAAAAAAATAAAAACAGATAAATGAAGCTTACAAATTTGTTTCCTTTAGTTATGTTTTGAGAAAGGATCTCTCTCTATGAGTGCTCAGGCTGCCTTGGAATTCACTATATGAGCCAAGCTGTCCTTGGATTTCTGATCCTTTTGCTAGGACTGTGGGCATGCTCTTCCATGCTATGCTGCAGTTTTAAATTTGTCAGTTAAAAAGATGATTAGAATGGGATTCATGGGTGAGTGGAGGGAGAGAACCTTGCCTGGCAGCCTGGGGCTGAGAAATGAAATTCAGGGATTCACCACGTCTCTGAAGCTGAGACTAGAGTACCAGAGGCAACAGCAAGACCACCCGAGCAGTGCATTCACACGAAACTGAAGGTGTGAGCTCTATCTGTAGCCAGCTTTTCCCCAGAAAGCTAGGTCTTTAGTTCTTCTTCACATTAGGTTGTTCAACTTCGATAAAAGATTAAAAACAACAACAACTCTTGATTCTCAAAGGACAACATTTATAACAACTGCCCTCAGACAAGAAATGGAAACGGTATCCAGCCACCACTGAAAACAACTCATTTCAAGAAAACTCAAAAGCTCAGAATTGCAGAGACCCCCACCTGCAATTCCGGTGCCTGGGAACCCCATGGAAAGGGTGGGTGGTTGAGCACAGGAGGAGGGTTCCTGTTACCTGATCTTGCTTCTTAGAGGCAGCTTGTAAGACCAGATTCACCTTTAACATTATCTCCTCAGAACTTAGGAGGCATAAGCAGAAGAGTTCTAGCCAGTTCTAGGCTAACATGGGTCACACAGAGAGACCTGGTCTCAGAGAAACGATAAAGCATCTAGGTGTGTCACATGATGTTAACCCCAGCGTTCCTGGGACCAAGGCAGATGGATGTCTGTGAGTTCCAGGCTAGACTGGGCTGCAGAGTGAGCTACAAAACTAAATCCAACAAACTGAAGTAACAACAGCTTGCCATGTACCATCCTAACATCTGCATCTGTGCGAAGGTGTGTGCGTGACATCTGTAATATATTTCCTTATAATTCTCCAGGTGGGGGAGCATTTTGACTCCTGATGGGAAAAATAAAAATAAATGAATCCGAATCAAACCAATTACTATTAACAGTCAACAACCTTCTGTGTCTCTGTTGGGAAAACTGCTCACAAGGCTGGCATAGAAAACCAGCCTAGACTAGAATGTCTGTCTCTTCCCATCTGCAATGGAGTCTTTCAGCTTATATGTATCTTACTGAGTGGCAGACCTACTAATAGAAGTCACAGAAGGACCCCCTCCTTGGGGAAGTCTTGTTTCTGCTTCAGGAATGATAGCACTGACTAAGGAAACAATCAAGAGATTTCTCCATATTCCTTCCCTCCTCCCACATAAGCCTCGCTCCTGGACATATCAGTTTCTGTGACCTACCAGCTGGACAGCTGTACTCACAGAAAAGTGAGTCAGTAGATAGTGTTTCAGGAAACATAGCCTCTGCTAATATGTGTGTTTGTGTGTGTGTGTGTGTGTGTGTGTGTGTGTGTGTGTGTCCTCACGCATGCATGTAGGGGCTCTTCTAATCTGCAGGTCACTAGCAGCTTTCAGACCTAGCCCTCTGCCTCAAACTTGAATTGATGGCTGAAGCCCTCTCAGGTTCTGGGTTTTATCTGAGGACCATGCCAATCACGGGTTCCCCAGGGACACAGTCTCTGCTAGGTTCTTTGCTTCAGGTCATGCATGAAATAAGCTATGCTCGTAGATAGCAAACTTTAAGTTCCCTTTAAAAATATCTTCAGAGAACCAACTGGAAGAATAGGCTGCATGCTCTCAGAGTCCATCCATCCATCATTCAATCTACCCATTCACTTATCATCTACCCACCCCATCCACCTCTCCTTCTACCCATCTATCCACCCATCCATCTATCTGTCCACCCATCCATTCGTCTGTTTTTCGGCTATCCTCTGAGCAGGCACTAATATTTGGTATCTGTTATAAATCTGGTATTTTATATGGCAAGCATTTCTCTCGACCCCTCCTTTTTTTTTTTTTTAATGACACTGTCTGGGACATTTGAACCTTTCTAAATAATTCCCTTGTCTGCATCCTGTATTTCAAGAGAAGAAAGGATATAAATAACAAAAACAAAATAAATCTACCTGGTGTTTGTTTCCTACTCAACCGAGAGAGACCCAAACGAAAATAATACTCGGGCCTTGAGAGGTGCCTGAAACCCTGAGGCGTGACCACAGCTGTCACCCCACAGTCTCGCTGAACTCTTTCCTAGTCTCCTCTGTAAATCAAGAGAGGGCCTGACAGCTGGGCTTAGCAAGTCAAGAACCCATCCTCTCTAGCCTAGAAACATGTGTTATCCATCACAGGTTCAGAGCTTTTCTGGCCAGAGGACACTCAGAATAGAGGAAGATTGTCTTCTGTGAGTCCCAACAAGCTTTACCCTCTTCCTCTGTACCCTCACCACATCAGCTTCAGCCTCATCCCCTACACCCTTACCACATCTGCTTCAGCCTCATCCCCTACACCCTCACCACATCTGCTTCAGCCTTATCCCCTATACTCTTACCACATCAGCTTCAGCCTCATCCTGTATACCCTCAGCACATCAGTATCTGTCATCCCTTATGTCCACGTAGGAGGAACCAAAGGCAAGGAAGATCATTGTTACTTAGTTCTCATAGTGAATATCATCTAGGGAGACCATTGTCTCCATGGAGGAGGATGGGCAGGCAGGGTTTGGGAGGCAGACCCCAGGACTGTGAGATGTAGTCTTCACTAAACAAGAGGGGTTATTTCTTGCGTTTTCTGGTCCTGGCCCAGGCTTGCCTCATCCAGTTCTGGGAGCACCCTGCACATCTTTTCTCATGGAGCCACATTTCTCTGTACTTGTCCCTTAAAGGACACAGACCAGCCAATGCTGAGACCCTTCTGGCTTCACGTCCAGATACTCCTATTTTGAAAATGTTCCCTTAGGATGCATATTTTAAAAGCAAAGGCTGACAAACTAGGCCTTACAGACCAAGTCTGACCCAGTGCCTACTCTTATCCAGCCAACTAAGAACAGTTACATCATTAAATTTCTGGGGGGGGACCCTAAAGAGTAACATTCTATATCCCATAAGAGACACATACAAAGGAAGGCACATAGCTAACTATCAGTCTCTCTCTCTCTGTAGCTACCTTTTTGATACAGCCCCACAGCCCAACAGCTGCCCCTGTGCAACCCACAAGGCCTCATATGGCTACTTTCTGGATGTTTCAGAAGAAAGTCTGCAACTTCTGAGCGAAGGAACCAAGGTCTTCTGGATGTCTCCGGACCACACACCCAGCACACCTGTGGAGCTGACGCTCAAGACCCTCAGCTGAGTCGGCCCTACCCAGTGGGGGAGCCAGCGTACTTTCCAAGGTGCATGGGCTCCGAGAGTTTTACTCTCAGAAAACTGTACTTCTGAAAGGCTGGTCCCCAGGGGAAGAAAGCCTTAGTAGAGTCAGCTTGAAAATCCTGGAGGAAATTTCTGTGGCAATGCCCTGGAGGATCTCCTAAAGTCCTTAAGTTAATGGGGATCACGCCAGTAGACGCCTTCCTGATAAAGCGCTTTTGTTCTTTGGCAGTGGTTCTCAACCTGTGGGTTCCAACCCACACAGGGTCCAACATCAGCTATCCTGCGTATCAGATATTTACATTATGACTCATAACGGTAGCAAAATTACAGGTATGAAGTAGCAACAGAAGTCATTTTATGGTTGGAGTCACCACAACATGAAGGAGTGTGTTAAAGAGTCGCAGCGTTAAGAAGGTGGCGAACCATTGCTCTTTGGTGTGGCTGTTCTAAATTCTGAAAAACACCGAGGTCTGCAGGTGTGTGGTTAACACCTCCTCAATATCTCTGCTCCCCCAACCCCAAACCAGTAACACAGACTAGAACAGTTCCCTCTGAAAACAAAGATAAACGTCATCAGGGAATCACACCCCTCTCATCAGCGGCCACACCCCTTTCATCAGTGGCCACACCCCTCTCATCAGCGGCCACACCCCTCTCATCAGCGGCCACACCCCTCTCATCAGCGGCCACACCCCTCTCATCAATGGCCACAGCCTGGCTTGGTACCTGGAGAGTGATGTTGACTGGTTGGAAATGACACTCCTGGTCATCCAGCTGAATGAAGTTGGAGGCGTCCACAGACTCGCCATACACAAAGGACGTTGGAGACACAATTCTGAAAGAGGAAAACGTGAAGTCAGTCATCCTACCTGAGACCAGGCCCTCCAGGTCACTGCTGGACTGAGAATTCAAAATATCTCTCCTTCACCCTGTGTCTCCAACCAGGTTTTCTTCCTTGCTGGATGGTCATTTCTCTCTCCTAGAACAGCTGTTCTTCCCAACAGATATGTCTTCTTACCTTAGGCCATACTAATAAGCTACTAAACACTGCATACTGAGATTATGTTTCTTTGTATATATGTATCTGTTGGTTCTTATGTGTGAACACCTACGTGTGGAGGTCAGAAGTCAACATCAGGTGTCTCCACTCTCCACCTTAGTTTCTGAGAGAGGGACCGTCATTGAACAAGAGGCTTAGGGATCTGCCTGCTCTAGAGTTACAGATGCTCATGGCTAATCCTGGCTTTTTATAGGAGTCCCGGGGATGAGAACTGAGTTCTTCATGATTTTATTTTACGAGTACTTTGCTGACTGAACCATCTCTCCAGCCATCCTTCCAATTACATTTCTAAAACAAGGTTTTAAAAATCAAAAGATACAGAAAGTAAAACCAACAAAATCTAAAACAAACAAACAAACAAACAAAAAAGCCCTTAATTATAAAATCAAACATTTTACTTGTCATTTGAAAGGCATTTCGGTAGATTATGCTGATAACAAGCTTTTGAGAAGTAAATGTAAGTAAATTATATATTTGGCAACCAAAACCGTAACAAATTCAATTTTAAAAGCATATTCATATCTGTTAGACTCCCATACTTATTAAAAATTGAGTATTTCAGGGGCTTGCAAGATGGCTGAGGGGTTGGAGGTGTTGCCACAAAGGCTGACGACCTGAGTTCAATCCCTAGGACCCACATGGTGGAAGGAGAGAGCCGACTTCCTTAAGTTGGCCTTTGATCTCATGCAACATGGTCCCTGCATGCCCGCACATACACACACACATAATAAATGCGGTAAGAATGAAAAAGAATCAGGCATTTTATGGATAATAAATTTAAACTCTCCCTATTTCCCATCCCTGGAAAGATCAGAGGTACACTCATTTGTTTAAATGATGGTTTCATGGGGACAGTTAGCACCTCACACTGAGGTCTCCTAAGGCCTTGACAACGTGATCAAGAGTATGTGGGAGGTGTTTCTACTTCATCCTAAGGACAAGGCCTGGTTCTGGGTGTTTTGTATGATCCCTTAGACAAGATGGATAAAGAAAGCACAGGTACAAACCAAGCTTTGAACACAGGCAATATGTGCCGTTTTGCAGATACATCCCACCAACGCCTTGTGTCTATGAGCACAGGATGCTCACTTTGCTGGCTCCCAGCAGAGTCCAGCTACTGCAGGGGCGGCCCCTCCCTCTATGAACAACATTGCTCTTCTGGACCGAGGCGTAGATCCAGAGCACTTGAAAACAGAGACAGAAGAAACTGAACTTTCAGAGAGTTCAGCTTGCATTTGGGCTAAGAACTCCTTGGGTTCCCATTTGATCTAAACCAACTGTGTGACGCTTCCCCCTCCCCTACCAGCCTCGCTGCTATCAGAGAGGTACACATAGTCTGTTTGCTGAAGCTGGAGACAAGGACTGAATTCTCAGTTTTCTAAGCTCTGGCTGAAAGCTGACCCAGGTTGCTTCGTGTCCCTGCAGAAACAGCCAACAGCCCTGCTTTCCAACAAAACCAGCGGTACCGAATGGCTGTACATTTCACCTGGATGGGTTGCTATTGCTGTTGTGACGGCTCCTTGTCCGCCCTTTCTGGCTTTGCTCAAGGACGGATGTAGCAGAAATATGAGAAGCAGGGACTATGGAGCTGTTGGGAAGGGCGGCCTTCCTGTGAGGTAGGGTATAAGGAACATTCGGCTTTAATCATCAGCTCTGCAGCTTTTAGCTGGTATTTAAACCCTGTAACCACAGTGCCTGCTGCTATACAGCATTCTGGAGTGTATACAGCACACATGATAGTGTACATCAGGAGGCAGGAATAGGTGCATGTTAAGATACAAAGAATGTTCAGAGAACTTACCAGCAAATTTCCCATCCTACTAGCTATGTGTCTGGGTAGCTGGGACTGATGGAGGGGAAAAGCAGAAGGGAGGTAGACATGGGCCACCACAGACAGACACACTTTTTTCCTGCTTTCCCAGGCTGGCAGGCAGGGAGGTGGCAAGGCCGCTTGTTCTTGGCTATGACACATGCAAATTAGGAGCAGTGTAGCACTCCATTGCAAGGCGTCCTGCGTTCTGGATACTTACCCAGTGATGGATGTGTCCACTTCATGCACCAGTGGCACTGTCAGTGTGAGAGTGTTGTCATGCAGGGCTTCGGAGCGCTCCGTATTGCCGCTGTGTGGGGAAGAGAAGAAGGATGGGGCAGTGGTCAGTGCAAGCCACTTAGCAGCTGGTTTGCCTGTCCCCCTGGTGCACATCAATCCTTACATTCTTCAGACTCACCTAATCTGTCCCCATTCAGCATGTGCAAAGGGGGCGGGGCAAGTAGAACGTATGGGAGATGACCCCAGGAAACCCCAGTAGGTAAATATAATAAAGAGACCGGGAAATAGAGGCAGCCACTGGAGGCTTGCTGCCCAGCAAGTGCATGCTGGAGGCAGCTGAGACTCAGGCTCACTGGAAAGGACTTTGGGAAGCAGGCTAGAACATGTATCTTAGATGTCCCACCTGAGGGCATAGAGACCCCTGAGAACTGCTGTGGTGGAAGGGAGGACAGAAATTCTCCAACACCTCCTGGTCACACGGGTTAGTAGGCTTCTACCAGAGAAGGCTGCAGCTGGGGAAGGGGAGGGCAGGCAGGAGCCATGATTTACCTCTTCCTGAAGACTATGTGATGACGTGCTACAGGTGAATACCCTGTTGCATATGGGTCTCTTTAAGCGTTTGCTTCCTAAGTAGTGTTCTACATACATTTCTACTGTGGGGATGAGATACCCCAAACAAAAACAACTCAGGGGAGCAAGGGGTTTACGTGACTCACACTTCAGGTTACAGTCCATCATCCAGGGAAGTTAAGACAGGAACTTAACACATCACACACACAGTGAAGAGCGGAAGGATGAACGCATTCACATCATCATGTAGCTTTCTCCTGTTTTACGTGGTTCAGGATGCCCTGCCCAGGGAAGGCTGTGCCCACAGTGGGTTAGCTCTTCCCACATCAATCAACAAAGACATGTCCGTAGGCTAATCTGATCAAGGGAATCCCTCAACTGAGACTTTTTTCTCAGGTAGCAAGTTGTGGCAAGTTGACTGTTAAAGCTAGCCAGCACGAACAGCGACCATCAGAGTTAGAACATGGTTGCCAGGAAGGAGGTTTGTGGACATCTCACCATGAGTCCAGGGGCAGAGGGATCACCACTCTGGACCTACGGGAAGAGCTCAGACATCTTACAGCCCCACTATGAGCCAGAGGGAGCCACCTTCTAGACGGTTCAATGGAATTCCAAGCCAGGGCTATACTCATGTTGATTTGCTAGTTTATTAAACCTCAGTCAGGACTGGGATGCTTACGAGAGGAGCAAGTGGCTGCCTTGGGAGGAGACATGGCTCTTGGGTATGATTTGTTAAACCAATGGCTCTGTCCCATAGAATGAACAGGAGGTCCTAGCTGAAAGTGAAGGTTGCCCTCTCTGGATGGAACCTGTGAGGTCCCAGACACTCTGAGGTTTGGGCAGGGTTTCTCTTACCCACTCCCCTAGACATAGCTCCCAACATCTGCTGACCTCAGCTGCTCAGCCGTCCTCCCCTTGGCCCGATGTCCTCCTCTTCCACCAGCAAGTGTTGAATGGCAACAGTACTAAAATAGCTCTCATATCCCTTCCCCTCTCTCCTATTGTTCTCAAACAATGGTGCTCCATGACTCTGACCATGCAAGGCCACTGCCACTGCCCCTGGACCCACATCTGTCTTCCGCACATGAGATGACATCAGTCCCTCACAAGGTGGCCACAGCACATGACAGCGGGAGCAGGCACCCACATGACTAGATTCCTTACCCTGCCTTTCCCAGGGAGTAATCTAAGCTTTGGAATCAGTGCCAGGGGCAGCCCAGAGGTGACGTCCCTATCAATGCAGTTGGTACAATTCTGGTCCCCATCCTCCCTACATTCAGCGTCCTTCCAGGCCTGAATAGTTTGCTCTTGATGGAAGAGTCATCTCTTGCCCTGTCATCTGTCCAGCTATTTGGGGCTGCTGGCAGCTTGCACCCAATAATGGTTTGATCTGTCGTCAAGTAACGGCTCCAGAATGAGCCAAGTTGAAAAGCTGAGATAAAGAGACCAAACATCAAACAACTTTCTGCTATTCCTTAAGCTCCAACGTGCTGGGACTTCTCCAAGTGAGCTGCTAGGCCAGACTACTGATGGTGGAGATGAGAGGTCAGGAAACACTGTTTAGTCTCAGTTTGATGTTCCCTGAAAGCTGTAAGCAGGCAAGTGCCCTTCAAAGGGTGGTGATGGAAGAGAAGAATGACTGATACTTTAACTGTCAGGCTTGAGATAAGGAGCTTTAGGGATCTGCCTGTTGTGGCCGGGAGTCAAGTGTTAGGAGACCTCTTTAAGGCTCGACAGATCAGATTTCCACAGAATCTACAAGAGAAGGAAGTATGGAACAATCCAGTATGTTTAAAAGGTTACTAACGCTCCTTAACATTTACGATCTAAAGAATTAACTGGAAATTCTTATACTAATGTTTGTGAGTTTTTTTTAAAACTTTAGTAGGTTGTGGGCATTTAAAAAATATAACCTATATTTAGCACTGTCACTGGTATATGGCAGGTACCTAACAGGTGTTTACTGAGCAGTGACATGCTCAGGAGAATTCAGGAATATGCAGATGGTGGACCTTGTATATTAATTAAAGTCATTTGAGTCTTTCCCCAAACTCCAATGTTCTGTTCTTACTCCAGACTAACTGGATCCAAATCCCAGGAGCGGGTGGGGTTGTATCAGGCATCAGAGGATTTCAAAGCTCCCAGGTGTTTCCACTGTGCCCAGCACAGCACTAGCTAGTGGGCATGTCATTGTAAGAGAGGGAAGGAAGCTTTCACCACTGTACTTCTGACCCCTGCTCTCTCTAGGAGTGGGGGTAGAGGCAGGCTGTGTCACTTTCTTTTGACAAGGAAATCCTTTCCATGTCCTGTTCCTTCTCATGACCATTGCCTGGGCTAGGTGTTGAAGGACAGACAGTACAATGCTTGGTCCAACAGTCCAACAGTGCTTTGTTTTCTGTGGCTCTAAGAAACAGCAGTCGGATTCCAGTTTTAGTGGGCATCTGCCTCCCTGAATTCAACACAGCAATCTCGTGAAGTATTGAGCTGTTACATTGTGTCAGTGTGCCTGTTAGCTTTAAGTTTAGACACTAGACAACCTAGAATCACTTGGAAAAGTCTCAGTAAGGGATACTCTACACCTTGTTGGTCTGTGAATGTGTATGTAGGGGAGCATCTCAAAGTAGTATGTAAAGATTCAGCCCACTGTGGGCATCAACATTCCTTAGGCAGGAGATTTTGACCCATATAAGAGTTGAGAAATCCAGATGAACACAGCCTAGCAAGTGAGCACACATTCTTTCTTTCCTCTCTGTTCTTGACTATGGGATTAATGCTTCAAGTCCCTGGAATGTGACTTCAAGTGCTGCAATGAATTGTAACCTGGAATCATCAACCAAATATGTCCCTTTCTCCCCTAAATTGCTCTCTGTCAGGGTACTTCATCACAGCCATAGAAATGAAACTGGGGCTGCAGGACTCTTCAAAAACTTAGAGACTCCTCACGGTTGTCAGAATGTAGTTTAGAATTTCTGAGCCTGCTTCTGGCCTCTGGCTCCATCCTGCTCCTCTTTCAGCCCCATCTCTCATTGCCCTGTTTGTCCCCCACCCTCCTTCTAGGGATGGATGCCCATGTACTGTTCACTCCCATGTCTACAGCTCACACGGGCATGGCACAGCAGAGTGCACTATGGACCTTCACTGACATGCTTTGTGCTTCAGCATGAAAACACTCTACTACCACACCCTAGAATCTCTCTCGGCTTCTAGCTGCAGAAATGGAAACTGCCTGTTCTTATTTGATCCCAGTGGTGATCATGTGACTTTGAAAATAAGGCAAAAGAAAATAACTCATTCTTGAGAATCTGTGGGAAATATCTGCAAAGACACTACTCAGACACATAGTGAAACTGGACCACAGTTTCAAATTCCCAAGTTTGACAGTCACATGTGGTTTTGTTCTTGGGGAATTCTCAGAGAGCATTTATGGGTGGAGGGGGATGGTCTCTACACCTTGTTTTCAGACAGTCAAGAAAAGAAAATCTATGTAGAAAGAAAGTTGAAATCCATGAGTCTGAATGTCAGCATTAGCTGAGTAAATGGCGCATGTGACTCTTGAGCTGTCTTTGCAACATACTGTCAACTAGAAACTTTAAAGTTATCTTAAAGTGTGTGTGTGTGTGTATGTATACTGCACTTGAGTGTATGTGTGTATGAATGTGTATGTGTGTATGTCTGTATGTGTCTGAGTGTGTGTGTCTGTATGTGTGTGTATATATGCGTATTGTGTTTGAGTGTGTGTGTGCATGCATGTGTATGTGTGTGTATTGTATGTGTGAGTGTGTTTATGTATATTATGTTTGAGTATGCGTGTGTGTGTGTGAGTATGTGTGTGTGTGTGTGTGTGTGAATGTGAGCTATAAGAGGGTGTCAGATCTGCAGAAGCCTGACCTACAGATAGTTGTACGCTGACCAGCCTGAGTTCTGGGAACTGAGCTCAGGTGCTCAGCCAGATTAGCACACTCTCGTAACTGCTGAGCCATTTCTCCAGCCGTACAACTAGAAATGTAAATGAATATGTTGTTTTGAGTGTCCAACCACACCTGCCCAAACTTCATCAAAGTCTGTCTGTCCACACTCACTGACCTAATGGTGCTTCCTTCATTGGTGAGGCTAGCCGTTTGATACCCCAATGCTGCTTCAATTCAAATGTAGGTTGTGGCTCAAGGAGGTAGCTCATAAACCCACAGGCTAGCCCAGGCACTCATGGCTATACACACTCCTAAGGGGAGAAGTTACCACCCTGCCCCATTCCCTTCACTGTCTGTCCACCTGGCTTCTGGGACAGTTCTGTTTTCTAGGCACACTATTGGAGTGCCCCTGACAACTAGCCTCACCAAGCCGCAGTCTGTGGGTGGCTTTCCCTACTCTGCCAAATGATTAAACATGTGTCCCCAAGAATTAGATGACCTAGCCTGACAAACTTCAGAGAATGCCTGTCTGATTTACAAAACATGTCCAAGCAGGAACTGACCAGTTAATTATATGATCTTGAATTAGAGTGTCATCTCAGCAGGCCTGCCTCTCCTCAGTTGTAGACGTCCCAGTGACAAGCTGACCCTCACGCTTCCCATGCTTGGTTAGAAGTGGTGACCAGGGATAACAGTTCAAATTGGGTTTGATGTAAGCTTGAGTAGATTTGTGATCACCCAGGAGACACCTCTGGGCCTTTCTGTGCGGGTAGTACCACTGTGCAGTTTTCCGTCTTCATTCCCAGCTCTCTGATCACTGGACCACTTAGCTGAGAGCAAGCATCTGCCTGTTGCCCAGAGCAGCCTCCTTCCATGAGTTCCCAGCCCCGATGGACTGTATCCCCTTTATCTGTGAGCCAACATAAAGCTCTCCTTCCTTACGATTTCTTATTTGGTCATAGTAGTGAGCAGAACCTCATGAACACCCTCAGAGGTCTGATCCCACCCAGTGCTATGGGGATTTATCACTGAGTAGCCGTTTCTGAATTCCCTGCATCCCAGGGACACCCAAGGCATGCCCTTTCCCCATCCTATAATGTCTTTTTTTGGGGGGGGGGGAGTCTGTTTAAGGCCCTTTTACCTCTGAGCAGTCACAATGAAGCTGAGAATTTCCTCTTCCCCAGACAGGTGGCTTGTATCAAAGATGACACTGAATTCATACTAGGGAGAAAGAAAGAAAGCACATTTGACACCCACAAGCATTCTACATTTTTAAAACTATGTTTTCTAGAATGGTTTGCAGTTTATAACCCCTGGAAGCTCATCTGTATAGCAAATGCTATTTTTAAATGTATATCTAATTTTTGGGTGTCAGGAGGTTTCCTAAGCAGAACTCCCCAAGCCCCAGGGAGGTGCACGTCACTCCTTTTAGCCACAGGAAGTCTTAGAGCAAGTAGCACATTGAAACTGCAAAGCCAGGAGTCTCTGACTCCATCCCACCACCTTCTCAGCCTTTGCCAAGTTTACATTCCTCAGCAGCCATGATGTTTACAAGATGGTCTCCAATTCCAGCAAATGATGAAAGACTGTGGATTGTATCTCAATTATTTGGTTTCCACTCAAATAAATTCTAGGCAATTGTATGCTTTTCGGAGATGTCGAATTCTGTGAAACTGAATGCTACTTGAGAGCAATGGGCACAGACCCTTAAATCAAACCATCATCTATGATGGGCAGAGGCACCCCCTTTTTAGGCAGAAATCTCTGCTGCAGAGGAACTCGGTTTATGAGGAATGAAAACAACCAAGGGTCTTGTCCCAGCTGAGTTAAGGCAACCATACTAAAGACTGAAGTGAGACGAGGCCACTGCCAATCAGAGCAAGAGCTGGAAGTGAGTGACAGAAGCCCACTGCCAATCAGAGTGAGAGATGGAAGTGAGTGACAGAAGCCCACTGCCAATCAGAGTGAGAGGTGGAAGTGAGTGACAGAAGCCCACTGCCAATCAGAATGAGACTGAAGTGTAGTCCCGCAGCTGAGCAGGTTGGTGCCTGATGACCCCAGGGTTTGAGAACAGGAGAGTATGGGTGGGCCATAGGTAGAGGGAGCTCAGTCCTTGTGTGACTTGCTGGGTTTTCTACTCTCCTCTCCATCCCCTCACTTCTGAGTTTAGTATTGCTTGTGGTCTTGACATCTGTATGTGGAATTTTTTAAAAATGAAATATAATATGGTTATTTATGTTTATGGGTTCTGCAGCAGAAACAGGAAATCAATATTCCGATAGTCATTATTCTATTGACTTTACGACATTTTCAGAGTTAACACATGTTGGTGAAACTCACATTCCACCAGGAGAGACAACCAGATGCGCTTTCGGTTTGATTTGTCACGTGGATTAGATTTTTACAGCAGAGTAGCATGTTCAAGAAAGGGCATGGGTTTCTCAATGAAGTCTGTTTTCTGTTACTTCAAAAATATATGTGAAGTGGTATGTGTGTGTATGTGTGTGTAAATGTGTGTGAGTGTGCATGTGTGCATATGTGTGAGTGTGTACATATTTGTGCGTGCATGCATGTGTGCATATGTGAGTATAGATATGTGTGTGCGTATTTGTGTGTGCATGTGTGAATGTGCATATATGAGTATGCGTGTGTGTGTGTGTGTGTGTGTAGCAATAAGCGGTTGATGGAAAGAACTGAGAGTACTATGGTCTAGGATGCACCCGCCTTGGCCAAGGGCCTTACCTTAGACTTTGACCTCATGAAAGGAAACCCCACACTGCACTTGAGGAAGTCCGATTCCAGCAGCTCACAGGAAATGCCCATCTCCTCCTGAAATGGAAAATGTCAACAGATGGCTGGACTGCATGGAGGACAGGGGCGTGGGAGGGCCTCAATGAGGCTATTGCGTTCTCGAGAGTTTGGTCGTCCCAGCTGTGGTGGGCTGGAGTTCTGAAACCAAGTCTCCACTCTGCCTGCCCACTTCCGTCGGAGACAGAAGCACAGGACAGAACTAGAGACAAGTTTAAACTAATGTTTGAGGTCTTAACCATCCTGGATCTGGACTTGCACAGCAGACTGCACTCTACTGAATGCGTGGTCTCTGAGGAGACTTGGGTTATGGGACTTGGATGAATGTTCATTCATTCATTCTTTCTTCCCTGACCCTCTGCACGCAGGAATGTGTTTTGAAACTGGGTCTCATGTATTCCAGGCAAAGCAGACTGGGCTGGCAGGATGGTTCAGTGGGTAAAGGCGCTTGTTGCCAAGCCTGATAACCAAGAGTTTAATCCCCAGGGCCCACCTGGTGGAAGGAGAGCGCTGATGACTACAGGCTATTTTCTGACATTCACATGCAGCTCATGGCATGTGTGCATACACACACACACACACACACACACACACACTTTTAAAAGGCAGAGGATTAGGGTATCATATATTACAAAAATTTCCACTCAGTAGCTATTTGCCCAATACTCTGTCACATCTCTTGTTTCATTAGTCAGAGCAATGTTATAATATTTTATTTAAAAACAGATTTATCATTTTGTTATTTTATGTGTATGTATATTTTACCTACATGTATGTATGTGTACTGTGTGCATGCCTGGTAACGTCAGAGGCCAGAAAAGGATATGGGACTGGAGTTACAGATGGTTGAGAGCTGCCATGTGGGTGGTGGGAATCGAACCCTGGTCTGCTGGAAGAGTGACAAGTGCTTCCAGCAGTGCTGTTTTAAAGAGGCTAATCACACCATCAAGCTTTTTACCTTGATATCTTTGAAAGTCATCATAAAACTAACAAATGATTTTAAATGTAGCATAAAGCCAACCTATTTTCACCAGTTTTTATTAATTTTACAAGCAAAGTCCCAACAAAATCTTTTGAAAATATTTTGACTATGAAATCTTGGACTGGACTTGAGGCTGGCTGACAGACTAAGTGGCCCTTCTCTCAGCCTCATTTTTCCTGAGCTAACAAGGTTCCTCTCTGGAGATCACAGGGAATTGCGTTCCAATTGAAATTTCATAGCAATACACATTATGCTCGAGATAGGAAACCATCAATTAACATTAAACAAACAAAGAACAAGACCACAACACAATGATGGGAAGCACTGTAGTGTGCAAACACATGCTCTCGGTGCCTGGCACTCAATAGCTCTTGACTTTGCATTTATTGAGTGAGTGGGCTGGCCTGTGGAAGCCTCGTGTGAGGGGACTGTAAACAGCAGCTCCTTTTGCTGCCATGCCTGGCATGAGAGATGCTTGCCGTGAAGAAGCCGTCTTTTCCAGACATACCTTGGCTGCCCCGGTTCTGGGCACACAGCCAGCGAAGCCAGGTTCCAGACTCTGTAACAACGTGGGGGTGTTTGGAAGTTCAGACAATGAAGCCAGTGAGCCTCTCTGGCCTTTTGGCCTCCTTCCTCTCGTTCACAGGAGAGTTTGATTTTAGACTTCGAGAAGGGTCTTACTCGGCCACCAACGTAGCAGTCTTTAGAAACAGAATGTCTGTGAGTTCCACGGTGGGATTACTCTAAGAGTCAAGTTAAACTTGGAGTTCTGACTTTGTGTTTTCTAGTTTCAACATGTGTTTGCCAAACTGATCGTGACCCTAAGGTCTCCATGTCTGGCTAGCAGTTTCATGTTCCTCTAAGATCCTTTTCTTAGCATCCTTTGATGGGGGTTCTATTTGGAAGTGTTTCAGACCAAACTCCCTAATTAGAGGAGCCAGAGGCAAGCAACGCTTCTAGAAACTTGGATGAACAGAAAAAGGGATTACTCCTGGAGAAGACACCAGAAACTCTCTTCAATGACAAGTCAGCTGAGAGATCCACTCCCCTGACAGTGCCTGAGAAAATCCTGTTGGTGAAACATATGCGGGCCTGCAGCTTAGGAAGCAAGTGCATTTTGGTATTCACAGGTAGGCTTTGACTGTTGGTTCAGATATGCAACAGCTATGTGTGTCATCATGTAAATAAACTATGCTTTCTGAAAGCCTGAATTTTATCACCTGTTGGATGAAGTCACAGCACCTGCCTGAGATGACCCCCTGGTGTCCCAACCAGGGCTGAAGGATGTGGGTGGTTTTCATACACGAGTTCTGCCAGCAATGGCTCGCCACATGCCAGGCAGTGTATAAACTCCATTGTCCATTGTCTGAGGATTTTGATTCCCTCTTAATTCTCAATTTACAAGAAAGAAACTGGAGTGTAAAGGCGTTCTATCAGGTTCTGGAGGGCTGAGTGGGCATATGGATGCCAAATGTCTACGCTCAGACCTGCCTCTCTACACTGTCTCTTTAAATGTAAATTCTCATGTCCTGGTACACCCCAGCCTCGTGGATCTTGTACAAGGCACAGCAAGGGTGTGAGGAGAGATTTCTCATTTGAACATTTTGTCAGTGAGACTTAGGCTCTGACATATGTCACAGGTAATACACACATGGTGTCTTGTCCTCTGCTGTTGCCTTATGCTCTGTCTTTGCATCCATCAAAGCATCATTCATTCATTCATTCATGCATGCATTCATTCACAAGCTCACTCATGGTTCTTTCAGCAAATGCCTACAAACACCAAGCACAGAACAGAGGGCCTCGTGACTGATGGCTGAGAAGGGATGCCTGCCTTTAAGGAAACATCATTAACACCTTTTAGTACAGAAGGAAACAATCTAGGCTCTACCAGCCCATCAATGAGTAGACACAGCGTGCAGTTTTCATGGAATGGAATAGCGTTCAACCTTGAGAAAGTGCTGACATGTATCACAACACAGGTGTCGCTTGAAATTCAAAGGTAAAGTGAAAGCAACCAGTCATGGGGTCTACATCACATATACCGCTCCATTTATATGAGATGTGCAGAATAGGTAAACACAAGGGAGAATACATTTTGTCTGGGAAGAGATGCAGAGTGAAAGGTGGTGTGCACAAGCTGTGGGATTCATCTCGAAGGGATGCTCTGAAATGACTAGTCACCTCTCCCACCCTGCTTGTGGCCTCTGAGCATTTTGCATTCCTTTTGCTTAACAGCGTTCAGAGGTGATGCACCTGAACACCTGTCACTGATTCCTAACCAGGATTGGACTCTTCTGGGAGGACCAGCTGTGTACAGGGCCTGCCTGAGGACATGCTGAGGACACTAAGTGCATGCTGCTTTCACCAAGCCCCAGGCTCTGGTGGAGAGCTGTGACTCACCAGACAGTAGTACCTCTCTAATCTATTTGAGGCTACAGGGAAGACGATGATGGTGGCCCAGAGAGAGCTTTGTTAACCACATGGAGCTGCCTGTGTTTGACCCCACTAAACCAAACCAGGCAGCCTGGGTAGCAATAGTAGAAAGCTCACTGCATGGTCCTTATGGGCTCTCAAGTTAAAAATCCTGGAAAGTTAGACAATGTTAAGGTTCTCCAGTGGACCTCAGGCCCTCTTCTTTAGTGCTGGATTCTTGTTTCCTCAAGAAGGGTCTCACTATGTAGCCAAGGCTAGACGTGAACTCAAATTCCTCCTGCCTCTGCCTCCTAAATCTCCAGATTTCACCACACCAGCTCAACATAAGACTTTTTAGGAGGAATCCTGAGTGTGAGTATAATCTACGGGAAGGAGTTATCCGTGAGACTCCTGCTCTCAAGGCTAATGCAGCAACTATCAACCTGGAGGTTATTGCACATGCTACCCAGTAGAAGAGGAACACTGGAACCTTTGCTGACTCGTAACTATGGTGGTAACTCTGCCCCTGTGCAATGATGGTCATCCCATACCATGAGTCCTCATACAGAGGCCTCGGGTAACAAGTTCCCTGCATACCATGCCCTGATGGCAGGGAGTCAGGTGAGTTTGGGTGCATTCAGAGCAAAATTCTGTAGGCAACTCAGAGAACTGAACTTTAATCTCAGGGCTCTTGGTTGTTCCAGAAAAAATCTGTCCATCCATCCATCCATCCATCCATCCATCCATCCATCCATCCATCCATCTGTTCATCCATTTATCCATCCATTCAGCATCCATCTATCCTCCATCCATCCATTCTCCATCCATCCACCCATCCTCCATTCATCCATCCATCCATCCATCCATCATCCATCCATCATCCATCCATCATCCATCCATCCATCCATCCATCATCCATCCATCTATCTATCCATCCTATTTATCTTGCTACAGTAGGAAACAGCTGTGATAAACTAAATCTTATATATGAAATAGGTAAGTTTTTCATTCTTACATGTCTTTTTTAATTTCTTGTTTAAGAATAATTATCCATAGAGTATACACAATGCCCTTTATTGGGCCATGTGCCTTTGTAATCCAGTTGTTGTTGACTCTAAGGAGGATGCCTGGCCTGGCAGAAGGGAGGAGGAACAACTGGTTCTAAGAATAAAGAGTGCTGACTCTTTATTACTTACTTACTCTCTGAGTATTTGGGCAATCTGCACACAAGATGGGATGGGTAACTCTTTATAAGAAAAGCACCAGTCTCCCTACTCCGTTCTGTAAACCCTACTCTACAGTTCAGCATTACTACTGCAATTTTTATCTTCCTTTGTCGTGAACCATGAAATCTGTAAGTTATTCAAGATTATAAGATCCAAAACTGGATGTGCTAGTCTACCAGCGACATACAGATACTCATGTCACGGTGGGGAGTAGCCCACCGCTGGAATGTGCAGAGCAATACCACCGTGAATGGCAATAGATGCAATCACCACATACAAGCTCACTGTGTAGCAGAGAGGGCTCTCATGCAGAGCTCTTCCTGGTGGATGCAGGGGCTGTGCCCTGGGCCCATGGCTAGCATAGGATTTGTACTGTTATGGATTTATTTGGAAGATAT